CACTATCCACAGCCATTTTAAATTGCTCTATTTCAATAGGCTGTTAGGAATTGTGGGAGTTGAAGTCCAAAACACCTGGAGGGCCAAAGTTTGCCCATGCCTGTAGATGTTCTGGCACATTTTGGTTTGGGAGTTCACATTTTCTAACACTATTTTTTTCAAAGCTTTCTTTTGCTCCTGCATTTAGTCATGCTGTAAATATAGATGATTTCTGGCTTGATTTGTTGCTGCTTGTACCAAAATAATATACTGTTATCCCCCCCCCCCACACACACACACACACACCTCTTGATTTTGAAATGTGTGGTAGAAGAGAAGGGTTATTGCCAAGTAAGCAGTCATGATCCGAATGTTATGTAATGCAATATAAATGTCACAAATAAGTGACGCCATTATACCCCTCAGAGGCCTGTTTTGTTTCTGAGTTGTATTGCAAAAATAAAAATCACACTTTTGAATAACAAGTGAAGTTTGTTACAGACATGTCAATTGAAATGACTGTCCAGGAGTATTCCCTTTAGACATGTCCTCATCTCAGGCTAATTTCTCTTATTTCTGTCCTATTTTTATTTCCACTTTCTTACTAGGGTAGACAAATAGACTACCAACCCAAAATACTAGGATTGAGAAGAAATGCTATACCTTTCTAGTCTTCAACCAGTGGTTCCCAACCTGTGGTCCATGGCCACCAGTGGTCTGCAAGAACAAAAATATGGTCTGCGGCCTCACCGTTACTACACTGTTGCAATGAGAGCGACTGGTCTTGCAAAACCCTCTTATAGTGCCGAGGCTTATTAAATATGGTTTTCTGTGGATGAGCAGATGGCGACTACTGGATGGCATATGTTCTGTATCAGAAACTAGAGCTGATGTGGGCTATCCAATGCAATTTTCTGAATCAGAACCCCAAATAATAAAAAACCGACTTGTAACCCTTTTGGTAGTAATAGTAGAGAGTGGTCCCTGGTCAAAGTGGTAGTCCTTGGTCAAAAGAAGGTTGGGATCCACTGTCTTAGACGAAGATCCTACCTACACTGCTATATAATGCAGTTTAATAATAGAGTTTAACTGCATTATATGGCAGTGTTGACTCATATAATGCAATTCAATGTAGTTATATTGCATTATGAAACTGCATTATATGGCAGTGTAGATGTTGTCTGACTCTACTTATAATACTCTATAGTCACAATTAGTTGCTTGCTGGTTGTGCAGTCCAATCCTATGCATAATGACTACAAAGTAAACCAGTTCAATAGAGTTCTTTACTTCCTAGTAAGAATGCATAAAATTGCAGCTTTATACTGTTTTTCTTGCCATCTTTCCATTTTCCTATATACAACCCCTGATTTTCGGCATGAAAATCAGCACAATTCCTACAAGCAAAAAAGGTATGAAGTTCATGGATAGTGCAAATCTATTGTTATTCTGCTTTTGTGAATCTTGCCGTTGACATATATGAAGTCGCTGAACGCTTGCTGTGTACTAAGTATCTCATCACATTGCGAACTCTGAATGAAGCTGCCTTCATGTTTTTTTTAAAAAGCCTCCCACAGAACTATTATTTTGCTTGTGACAGGTTGATCCAACCATAAAATCTGTATAAAGTAAGTAAGATTAAGGTGGTATAGGGGAGAAATGTTGTGCTCACCCAGGGAGCCATAGAGTGAGAGAATAAATAAAATATTTCGCGGTTGCTTATTAGAGTGTTGTCTCAAGTGTCTGAATCCCCAAGTCTTTTTTCTACTTTTAAATGTGGCTGGTTTCGGTTCTCTTGCATCGATTCCTTCTTTTCCACCTCTCTTTTCTGCACCTCCAGGATGCCAGTCAAGCTTGGACAAGGAAGAAGGAGGCATCTCAGTTGAAGAACGAATGGCTCGCAGGGCGTTCAACAAGCAGGTATTTCAGAAACAACTCTTTTAGGGAACAGATGGTACTGCAGATACGTGGGCTCTGGAAGAAGAAAGAAAAGTGGTGATTGGTAAAGTTGCCTGGAATGTAATAAAAAAGGGCTCCCCACAAGCTTGGGAAGTTACTTTGAGAAAGAATGATTATAATGATATGCTGAAGCCATCCATTGAGCAGTGACTACCACTGCTTAGTTATAGCATATTAGATTAATTCAACTGAAAGGTCACTTTCAGAACTCTGCTCCCCGCCCGATCACTCATACACAAAGCAATACAAATCCTAGATGAAAATACCAGGATATCTAAAATAGATTTTATGCTATGCATTTTCCATTCTAAATTTTTTAACAGTTCTACCAATTTCTGTAATTGCAATTAATTATACAATTAGTTCCTTTTATGCTGACTGCACAATTTTGCAATCGGTGGCGCAATGGGTTAAACCAGTGGTTCTCAACCTTCCTAATGCTGCAATCCCTTAATACAGTTCCTCATGTTGTGGTGACCACCAACAATAATATTATTTTCATTGCTACTACATTGCTGTAATTTTGCTACTGTTATGAATCATAATGTAAATATCTGATATTCAGGATATATTTTCATTCACAGGACCAAATGTGGCACAAATACCCAATACACCCAAATTTGAATATGGTGGGGTGGGGTGGGGGGAATTAATTTTGTAATTTGGGAATTGTAGTTGCTGGGATTTATAGCTTACCTACAATCAAAGAGCATTCTGAACTCTACCAATTATGGAATTGAACCTAACTTGGCACACAGAACTCCTATGACCAACAGAAAATACTGGAAGGGTTTGGTGGGCATTGACCTTAAGTTTTGAAGTTGTAGCTCATCTACATCCAGAGAGCACTGTGGATCTAGATCAAATTTGGCATGAATACTCAATATGCCAAATTGTGAACACTATGGGAGTTTGGGGAAAACAAACCTTGACATTTGGGAGTTGTAGTTGCTGGAATTTATAGTTCACCTACAATCAGAGTATTCTGAACCTCACCAATGATAGAATTGGGCCAAATTTCTCAAACAGAACCCCCGTGTGACCAACAGAAAATATTGTGTTTTCCAATGGTCTTTGGCGAGCCTTCTGACACCCCTCATGCCTCCCCAGGGGTCTCAACCCCCAGGTTGAGAAATGCTGACTTAAACCTTTGTGCCAGCAGGACTGCTGACTGAAAGGTATGTGGTTCGAATCCAGGGAGCGGGGTTAGTTCCTTTCTTTTGGTTCCAGATTCTCATGCAGGAACATGAGAGAAGCCTCCCACAGGATGGAAAACATTTGGGCACCTCCTGAGCAGATGGCCAATTCTCTCACACCAGAAGTGATTTGCAGTTTCTCAAGTCACTTCTGACACATTTTTTTTGCTGTAATAAGGATTCAGGATTTTATATTCATACATGGCTCCATTTTTTAAATTGAAGAAGTGGACAAAATGTTGGCAACATATGAAAAATAGAAACCTAGATCAAGAAATGCAATTTGGAATGAAGCACAGACTGTGCCACTTTTAGCCAGAATAATGTTTTAGGACATATAGCATCTTGACAGAAAGGTCTGACAAAAATTTGCCCTTCCAAGAACATGAAACAATTGTATTATGGATAATACAATTCCAGATAATTCTTCCTCAGACTAAACATCAATATTGTACTAAAGTTATCTGCATTGTATTGTCTTGTTTTGTGGTCTCACCATCATAGCAGTCTGGCGTCTTCAACACACCATCAAAGCATTGGCTCTCAGCCTCAAAGCTACAGGTTTTGTTTTGGCCGCGGCAGAAAAACTTGACAGTTTCTCCATGATGGACCAGACCAGATGGGATCTCATTGATCCAGAGCTTGTGTCCGTTGTAGATCACCCGACTACGCTGGGCAGAGATTGGACAACGGGCTGGAGAAAGAAAGAAATAATTCCTGTTAAATGGGTGCAATAGATCTATTCATTATTTACCTCTGAAATGGCAAACACAGAGGGAATAATATATGGGGTTGAGTATGTAAATTGAGGGAGTGTCATTAAAAAGGTATGTGAATTTTGAAGGGGTTACCTCTGCAATGGGGTAATTGGGACCAGCTTCCGTTTTCCAAGCACACAACTCTCTCGGAGCCATCTAAGTAGAAGTCCTTGTTGCACAAGTAATAGATCACGGTTCCCACTGGGTGTTCAGGCTTGTGCACAGCAACTAGGGTTGCATGAGCAATATTGGGTGGTTGGGAGCAATTAACAGCTAGAGAGAGAAAAACAAGTAAATTATAGATGAGTGTGGGAACACACAAGCCTGTGGACAGATGGAAAGAAAATGCGGTTAAGGCTTTTTTAAAAAAACCTTTTTACAAACATACCAAAAATTGGACTAGCAGAAGCAAAATCCTTCACAGAGATAATTGATCTAATCATTTATCCCTATCAGTTAATGCAGTGGTTCTCAGCCTCTCTAATTCCGTGAGCTCTTAATACAGTTCCTCATGTTGTGGTGATTCCCAACCATAAGATTATTTTGTTGCTACTTCATAACTGCATTTTTGCTACTGATATGAATCATAATGTAAACATCTGATAGGCAGGATATATTTTCATTCACTGCACCAAATTTGGCACAAATACCCTATATGCCCACATTTGGGGTTTGGGGGGGGGGTTGATTTTGTCATTTGGGAGTTGCTGGGATTTATAGTTCACCTATAATCAAAGAGCATTTTGAACTCCACCAACGATGGTATTGTACCAATCTTGGCACACAGAACTCCCATAACCAACAGAAAATACTGGAAGGGTTTGGTGGGCATTGAGTTTGTGTTTTGGAGTTGTAGTTCATCTACATCAAGAGTGCACTATGGACTCAAATAATGATGGATCTGGACCAAACATTGCACAAATACTCACTATGCCCAAATGTGAACACTGGTGAAGTTTGAGGAAAATAGGCTTGACACATGGGAGTTGTAGTTGCTGGGATTTATAGTTCACCTACAATCAAAGAGCATTCTGAACCCCACCAACAATAGAATTGGGCCAAACTTCCCACACAGAACCACCATGACCAACAGAAAATACAGTGTTTTCTGATGGTCTTTGGTGACCCCTCAGAGACCCCCAGGTTGAAAAACGCTGCTTATCTGGAGAGGCGGGGGAACAAGTAAATAAGGCAAGCAGTACATGCTTGTGGATACAGAAGGCCAACTGTACTTACGACGGCAGGTTGGGGCTGCGTGTGACCATTCTTCATTCTCTTGGCATAAGAGTGTGCTGGCTCCTTCCAGCTGATATCTGCAACATATGAAAAAACTTAGCATTGATATTAGGAAAAAGGATTTATTAACTTTTTAAAAACCTTTTCTACCACTGATGTTCTTCTGCAAAGCATAGAAGCAAATAGCTGTCAGTGATCAATTTTAAAGACAAAGCAATCTTTCACAATGAGTGATATTTCTGTGAAGGACAGGAACTCCCATGAAATGAGTTAGAAATTTTAACAGACCAATCAGTAACCCAAGATGATAGCACCATCCATCCTAGATGATCCTTGTATGTATGTTACAGGATATGAGTTATGGGAGATGGTGGAGAGGCAGAGAAATAAAGAAACTGTCTGGTTGTCCCTTTTGGTCAGAAATGTGGTGTTAATGGGAGCAGAGAAGACATCAGCTCGTAATGCAAGTAATACATGGTAATGGAGAATATGTGTGAGGATCAGGATTCAGGGTGCAGCCTTCAGTGAAAAAAATTAAGATGATGAGGTGCTGTTCTAGCAGCATTTTCTCCTGAAGGTTCATCTGCACCTGCGGCTTCTTCTGAACATGCCAGCCACAGATGCAGGTGAAACATGAGGAGAAAATGCTGCTAGAACACGACCATACAGCTTGGAAACCACACAGCACCCCTGTGATTCCAGTCATGAAAGCCTTCAACAATTGAGGATGATAGTAATCGACTTACCCATAGTTACACTCATAAGTTACTTCTTTTCCTACTTTGTAGGGGCCACCTTCATAGAATCCATTTTCAATTTCTGGAGGAGGTTTGCAAACTGATGAAAGATTAAGAATATCTGAGGGATGAGAGGAAAGGAGAGACATATTAATCTATGGCAGCTATTAATGCATGGTAGAGCCATTTGAGGAAATATTGGGTGTATGTTGGTCATTTGGTACAGGTGTTGGATATTAGTGATGGGTTTGGATTGGTTGAAGGTTTGGGGCAAGTAGTGATTATCAAATGAATGGTCTTGGGAAGAAGCAGTTCATTACCTTCACAGGGTGCAGTGAAGCTCCACTTTCCATCTCCTTGGCAGCGACTCATTGCTACATCCTGTCCATGATCCATTATAAATCCAGGGTGACATGTCACCCTCATGAAGTCCCCAAACATATTGGATTCCTGGGCCACCTGTGTCTCAGCGTTGTCTATCATCACTGGCCAAGGACAACTCAAACCTGAAATGAACACAGAAGAAAAGATGGTGGAAAACAAGATGACTTAAAGATCTTTGGAGCATTAAGAGCAAGGACCTGGCAGATTACAGCATAGGAGACTGAGATAGAGTAGTGATTCCTAGGATTGGGTAATCTGATTGCAAGAGGAACTGGGAAGCAGTATTTCTGTCATGATGAAATATGATATATGGTTTGAATCAAATTGTATGAAAGGTGAATGAATGAGAGCTAATAATATTGGAGACACTATTTTGAATATCAAGGCCTGCATTGACTAAATCATTAACTGCCTGGTTGCTGAACTGTAATTAAAAGTTGCTGAACTGCTGACATTGATAAGAACTGTGATAATGATTAACTGTTGAAGTTTTGGGGGAAAACAACATGTTTACATTATCAGAAACAATGGCTCTTTTAAGTTAAGGAAATGTTTACAAGATTCCTTAAGTTAAGAAGAAAGTAAATACAAGGCTGCTTATGTTTATCAACACCAATTAGGAAAAGTCTATATCTGCCAGGAAACTGAGATGGAAGCCACAATACACCTATCAGGCCAACGAGTGACCATCACTCATAAAAACACTGAAAAACACAGCAGAAGAGACTTAAAAGCCAAAAATAAAAAAATAAAAATTATATTACAACGCATGCACAAAACCACATATATACACATATACACATACATATACACACACAAAACACGTATACACATACTGAGCCACAGCAACGTGTGGCAGGGGACAGCTAGTATATTGTGGATGCATTGTAATGTACTTTTTTGTTTTTTGTTTTGGCTTTTTAAGTCTCTTCTGTGTTTTTCAGTGCTTTTATGCGTGGTGGTCATTCGTTGGCCTGATAGGTGTATTGTGTCCCAATTTGGTGTTGATTCATTGAGTTATGTTAATCCCACGAATGGACATTACATTTTTATTTATATAGATGAGATATGGTCAGAGATGTTAGGGTAAGAAAGAGAGATGAACCTGGGAATTACAGATTCATATGGAATGAAAAATAATGGCTACGTGCTTGAATGTTTGGCCTGGAAGAAGTGGCATCTGTTTTAAAATCCATAGATACTGGATTCTATGTATGGTGGTTTCTGTATTCGATTAGGACAGAGTTAGGTGGAAATCATAAATACAACTGGATTCCCAATAAATATGAGTGTAAGTAACTGAATGTGGATGAGATGATTAAGGTGAGCTGGCATGAAGTCGTTGTCCCTTACACTTACCTGTAGGGATGCAGCTCAGTCCACAGTCCCCATCACATACACAGTTCCTATGTTTGGAGCAGCTGCGGCGCTCACAACTTCTTTGACATATGTGGCCCGTCAGTGCTGCAAAATTCTTCTTCCGAGGTGGACACTTAGGGTCTTTCATATTCTTGACTGGAAAAGTAAGCAAGGATGAATAGAGAGATGAGATCTGAGGGTGAGAATGAAGGGTGGTGTACAAGGGATTTGAAAACAAATGGCATTTTTGCCAAGTTCATTTTGTATCCCAATAATCAATCATCAATATTTTTATAAGTACCATTAAAAAGCAGAAATTAATACATGATTTTTTATATTATAACTCATTTTTATTTTGGGCAGCTTTATTTATTTCTTTATAGTATTTATATTTTGTCCTTCTCACCCTGAAGAGGTCTCAGGGCAGATCACAATGCATACATGTGCGACAAACATTCAATGTCATTTTTTAGGCATACAGACAGACAGATAAAGGTATTTTTGGCATTTCCACTTCGGTGCCTGGAGATTATGCTGGATTTTGGCCGCGGGGTATGTGTGTGTGTGTGTGTGTGTGCTGTCGCTTCATCCACTATGATGTCATTTTGATCCTTGCTCTTTGACCTTCGCATTCACCACTTTAAACAGTCCCTAATTTCTCTACTCACAGCTCAGCTGTTTTCGAACTGCTTAGGTGAACAGTAAGCTAGGCTTAACAGTTGGATGCTCAATCTGACCCGGGTTTCAAACTTGCCACCTTCCAGTAGGCAGTGATCTATTGCAGCAGGTGGTTAACCAGCTGTGCTACAGCCCATCCCACAATTAATGATTTTACCCTGGCGATTTCGTATATATGTATTTTATTTATATGTATTTTAATCTTGTATTTTTGTATGATATTTCAACTTGTATTAGTAGCATTGAATCCTTGCTGTAAGTAGGTCTGAGTCCCTCTACAGAGGCAAGAAGATGGGATATAAAAGTTTTAAATAAATAAATACATTAATAAATAATGTTATTGTGATGTCGAAGGCTTTCATGGCCGGAATCACTCAGTTCTTGTGGGTTTTTTTCGGGCTATATGGCCATGTTCTAGAGGCATTTCTCCTGACGTTTCGCCTGCATCTATGGCAAGCTTCCTAAGAGGTGACCTTACCTCTGAGGAGAAATGCCTCTAGAACATGGCCATATAGCCCAAAAAACCCACAAGAACTGAATGTTATTGTGAATTTATTAAGTTCTTTTTGGTACTCATTCAACTAACTGTACAGCTCTCCTCGATATAAAATATTTAAGAATTATATTTCTCTGTTGGGAAAACTGAGGTGGAAGAGGATCTCTGCACAGCAGTACAACCTGTTTGTTGTCTCAGTTGTATCTTTATATATAGTGTCTGCCTTCACTATGACCAAGAATGATCTCTGGGTTTTCCAAATGAAGCAACAAAATATCACACACCATTTTACAATGCCACTGTATATAAGGGTCTTGAACATTCAGAGATTTTGGAGAGAGAGGGAGAGAGACAGAAGCTGCTTAATTGACAATTAGCTATCCTATAATGTTATTCCAAAATCTGGCACCTGGGTAGGTCATCTCATTATGGTAAATCTAGTCCTGCTTCTCCCTGTGGTGAATGAGAGCATATAGATGTCTTGCCTCATTTCCTCTTAAAGAGTGTTTCCCAAATGTCCCTCGGCAGAATCTAATTTTTAAGCTGTGTCTCATTACCCTTGCGGTGCCTCCGATTCCTGACATGTGAGTCTGTCCATTTAGGCCCACTGATAAGAAAGATATCAAGATGAACTTTAATCTGAGCTGAAAACCACAATGATCTTTTACTTCCCCCAAACTATTGCAGAGCAACGAACTACTACTTAAATGTATCTGTTGAACCTGGGTTCAAAACAGTATTAGATACAATTACATAAATAATAAATAATAAACCTCAAACAAGCAAATGATGCAGTGATTTTAACCCAAAGACTGCACTTGGAATATATTCCACATGGAAAGGCAAGGGATAAAGAAAACTCTCTGTGTATGTGTATGTGTTAAAAACTTGAGATTCAGGTTGTCTTAAGAAAAGATCATTTCATGCTATTCTAGGTCCCCCCTAGTGGCGCAGCAAGTTAAATCGCTGAGGTGCTGAATTTGCTGACCAAAAGGTTGGTGGTTCAAATCCGGAGAAAGGGGTGAGCTCCCACTGTTAGGCCCAACTTCTGCCAACCTAGCACTTTGAAAACATGCAAATGTGAGTAGATAAATAGGTGCTGCTTTGGCGGGAATGTAACGGCGCTCCATGCAGTCATGTTGGCCACATGACCTTGGAGGTGTCTATGGTCAACGCAAGCTCTTTGGCTTAGAGAAGGAAATGAGCTCCACCCCCCAGAGTTGAACACGACTAGACTTAATGTCAGGGGAAACCTTTACCTTTACTTAGGCCCCTTCTACACTGCCCTATATCCCAGGATCTGATCCCAAGTTATCTGATTTGAACTGGATTATATGAGCCTCCACTGCAAGATAATCTGGAATCAGATTCTGTGATATAAAGCCAGTGTAGAAGGGGCCTTAGTCTACCAAAAAGAGCTGTGCTACTGCCAATGGCCACCAGATGGGGGAAAATATTCTTGGCGTTACAATATGCTTTCTAGTTTTATATACAAGACAGACACTATTTATGACTACCTGTTATGCCTTCACTCGTACATATACTGTTTACTTTATTCTTTTAGCCTGCATGATTCAAAGGCTCCATGGGAGTATATCAAAAATAACACTGGCAATTATATTGTACTTTTGTATGGATTTTAAAAGTAAGCTATTTTGGCTATGAATATAACAAACAAACCAAAGAGCCATAGTAATAGTAATAGTAATAATAATAATAATAATAATAATAATAATAATAATAATAATGTATTTATATTCCGCCCTTCTCCCCAAGGGGACTCAGAGCAGATTACGGCATATAAATACACAGGCAAACATTCAATGCCTTGTTACAAAAAAATATGAGACACAAATAACACAAAGGCAAAGGCTTCTCCTTTCAGTTCTGGTTGTAGAGGCGTTGCTCATCTCCGGCTCTGGGGGAAGTGCCCATTACCATTTCCAAGCCGAGGAGCTTGCGTTGTCTGTAGACACCTCCTGGTCGTGTGGCCAGCATGACTGCATGGAGCTTTTTTTGCCTATTCCTGCCGAGGTGGTACCTGTTGATTTACTTACATTTCCATGTTTCCGAACTGCTAGGTTGGCAGGAGCAAGGGTTAACACCAGGAGCTCACCCTGTCCAGCGGATTTGAACTGCCAACTTTGAGGTCAGCAGTGAAGCAGCACAAGGGTTTAGCCAATTGTGCCACCCACAGCTACAGTATGGCAGATAATGAAACAAGTAAACAAATAAAACATTCAACAGTGATTAAATATGCCATGGTTCTGAGCTAATCTGTCCTGTTCATCAATTTTTTTTTGTCGTGTCACGAGCGACTTGAGAAACTGCAAGTCGCTTCTGGTGTGAGAGAATTGGCCGTCTGCAAGGACGTTGCCCAGGGGACGCCTGGATGATTTTGATGGTTTTATCATCCTTGTGGGAGGCTTCTCTCATGTCCTCGCATGAGGAGCTGGAGCTGATAGAGGGAGCTCATCCGCCTCTCCCCAGATTCGAACTTGTGACCTGTCGGTCTTCAGTCCTGCCGGCACAGGGGTTTAACCCACTGCACCACCGGGGGCTCCATTCATCAAATGGGCACATCCAAACAAACTGAAAAGTCCCAAATTTTGTCCCTGTTCTTTCTGATTTACATTGGGTAAACTGACCTGTTGTGCAAAACGTTCATTTGTGCAAATATGAAATTAGCTCAGCCTTCTCATCTGAATCTTTCACGAAAAATGCAGGGGAAAAAGACCAGACTTCCCCAGATAAATATTTTCTAGAAACACCTGTTTGCAATGCTCATTATTTCCAGCCATTGGGTATGCTAGCTAGGGGTGACAGGAATTGTAGCCCACAGCATATCAGAAAGACAGCAGGTTGGGGAAAGCTAAACTCAACATATGGCAACTGCCAATCCTGCTGATCCGGATAGTGAGATCTAGTTGCATTGATTGCCTCTTGTGCAATCCCACAAACAAATTACAGTGCTGCTATGTCCATTCTGCAATCCTATTTAGGTATAGAAAATTATACTTTTTCATGTTGAGTGAGTGGGAGATTGATAGAGTTTGTTTGGCCTTCCACAGAAGTGCTTAGTTGAATGAAAGGTGTTTGGCTCTTCCTCAAATCTGTTAAACCACTGCAGCAAACTAGTGACAACTGCGCATATGTAGTGCTAAAAATAAACATGAAGAGTTGGAAAGCACTGTTGTCTGTATTGTAATAGATATACTGAATCTACTTAATATTTAGTTAGACAGGCAGAGATAAATTGAGTTATATAATGTATACCCTCACCCTCCCCACTAAGGAGTTATAGTTATTACTGGATGGATAAAGACAAAAAATGAGTGTATGGTCATAATTATGTGGATAGAAATTAGAAAAACAGTGCAAAGAAGCAACTTCAACTACAGGCTAGGCAGGCATGGGCAAACTACAGCCCTCCAGGTGTTTTGGACTTCAACTTCCACAGTTCTTTTAGACAACATGTCTAGAGGAAGTAATTTCCAAACACTGGTCCTCCAAATATTTTGGACATCAGCTCCCAAAATCTCTGACCACTAACCATAGTGGCTGAAAATGCTGGAAGCTGAAGTCCAAAACACTTAGTGAACCAGAGTTTGGGAATAACTTCTTTAGAAAAGTGTATCGAAATGTATAACCCATCTCACCTGAAAATGCAGAAGGGATAACTAACTACACTTACAACAGATAAGTCATTATTTCTGACCATTCTGTACAGAGAAAAACTGAATCCAAGCCCAAGACTTTTGTTGTTGATTCGTTCAGTTGCTTTCAACTCTTTGTAACCTCCTGGACCAGCCCATGCCAATGCTCCCTGTCAGCAGCCGTTGCCACCCCCAGCTCCTTCAAGATCAAGCCAGTCACTTCAAGGATACCATCCATCTATCTTGCCCTTAGTTGGCCCCTCTTCCTTTTTCTTTCCATTTTTCCCAGCATCATTATCTTCTCCAAGCTTTCCTGTCTTCTCATTATGTGGCAAAAGTACTTCATCTTTGCCACAAATATCCTTCCCTCCAATGAGCAGTTGGGCTTTATTTCCTGGAGTATGGACTGATTTGATCTTCTCATGGTCTAAGGCACTCTAGAATTTTCCTCCAACACCACAGTACAAAAGCATCTATTTTCCTTTGCTCGGGCTTCCTTATGGTCCACCTCTTGCATCCATAGGTTACTACGGAAAATACCATTGCTTTAACTATGCACTTTTCTAGAATGGGGTTGAGCTGTAGTATATGTTACCCAGTCAACTCACCAAGATCTGAATCTAAAACTTTAGCCCAAAACTCTAAAATGGAAGGAAAGCTTGGAGTAGATAATGATATCTGAGCTGGATTCGGGCCGCTGTTCTTTTCTTTCATGTTTCTTGGCAGGGGGTTGGATGGATGGCTCATGAGGTCTCTTTGAACTCTATGATCTTTGCCACAAAAACTGTCTAATTTACATTATGGAATTCCTTGTACTCGTACTTAATGATTTTGTCTAAATGGAGGAAGTGTTTGGAAAAATAAACAAATCAATGAATCCACCCCTTTCATCTGATTCTTTAATGAAAAATATGAAGAAAAGAAGGAATAAAAATGAACAGATGATAGTGCCCCTCTCCATCTTTAGCCTTTTCCCTCGTGACAGCCTATCATTTCCTCTTGTGGCTTGTTTAGTGATGTGCGGTTGATACGGCTGGCATTTTACTGCTTAAAATATTTAGGCAACACGGTTTTAGAGCTGTGCCTTGGGAGTTGGTTTTTTTTCATTCGTTTCATTAAAATATTTATATCCTGCCCTTTATCTCCAGACTGCAGGGCAGTAGATAATAACACCAGTTTAAACAGTTTTAAACAATATAGCACTTAAGCAACAAAAGGAATGTAAAGAGATTGAAGTCACATTGAAAAAAGTTAGTATATTAAAGCAAACTTAAAAGGTTAAAGCAGTTTCAAGTCATGTACATCTTCAGTTGAAATTAAACCTCTTTGGTCGTCCCATCTGAACCTCCGATCAGATACACTACCCTACTTATCCATCTTACCCAGGGTTTTAAAAATTCTATCCGTTGTACGTGGCCCTGCCCACTCAGCTCAATGTTTTTGTTATTTACTACCTCTGAGAATGCTTGCTATAGATGCAGGCGAAAAGTCAGGAGAGAATGCCTCTAGAACATGGCCATATAGCCCGAAAAAAACCTACAACAACCCATTATTATTATTATTGTTGTTGTTGTTGTTGTTGTTGTTGTTGTTGTTGTTGTTGTTGGAAAAAACAGCTGAGGGCCACCACTGAGAAGGCCCTGTCTCTCGTCCTCACCAGTCATGCTCGTGAAGAAGTTGGCACCAAGAGTAGGGCCTCCCCAGAAGATCTTAACCTCCAAGATGGTTCATAGAGGAGATACGATTGAATGGGTAAACTGGGCTAAAACTGTTTAGGGCTTTATAGGCTAAAGCCAGCACTTTGAATTGCGCTTGGTATCAGACTGGCAGCTAGTGGAGCTGATGTAGCAGGGGAGTTGTATGCTCCCTGTACGCCGCTTCGGTGAGCAATCTGGCTGCTGCCCGTTGGACCGATTGGAGCTTCCGAACAGTCTTCAAAGGCAACCCCACATAGAGCGCATTGCAGTAGTCTATTCAGGATGTAATCAGAGTATTGACTACCGTGACCAAGTCTGACTTTCCAAGGTACGGTCACAACTGGTGCACAAGTTTTAGTTGTGCAAAAGCTCCCCTGGCCACCGACAAACCCTGGGATTACAGGCTCAGCGATGAGTCCAGGAGGACTCCCAAGCTGCAAACCTGTGGCTTCAGGAGGAATGTAACCCCATCCAGCACAGGCTGTAACCTTATACCCTTTTCGGCATTGCGACTGACCAGGAGTGCCTCTGTCTTGACTGGATTCAGTTTGAAGTGTTGAAGTGTTCTTTATTTTTGTGACACAAAAACATATTCCTTTTCTTCCCGTGTTATTTCTGCCTCTGATAACATTTCTTTTTTGTCAAATAAGTAATGTCCTTGAACACATTCATTTGGTTAATTGAGGTATACCTACTGAGAGTTGTTTGCATCACCATTGCTAGCAGTATCACCATTGATGCTCTGGCACACCATTTCAGAGACAACCCTATGCTATGATGAGTTGTTTTGATTCAGTAGAATTTGCTGGGTTCTGTGAATCATAGTTTTGAGATAGAGATGAATGGATGCCCCGGTGGTGCAATGGGTTAAACCAGTGGCTCTCAACCTGGGGTCCCCAGATGTTTTTGGCCTTCAACTCCCAGAAATCCCAGCCAGTTTACCAGCTGTTAGGATTTCTGGGAGTTGAAGGCTAAAAACATCTGGGGACCCCAGGTTGAGAACCACTGGGTTAAACCCTTGTGCTGGCAGGACTGACGACTGACAGGTTGTAGGTTCGAATCCGGGGAAATCACAGGTGAGCTCCCTCTGTCAGCTCCAGCTCCCCATGCAGGGACATGAGAGAAGCTTCCCACAAGGATGGTAAAACATCAAAACACCCCTGGGCAATTCCAGACGGCCAATTCTCTCACACCAGAAGTGACTTGTAGTTTTTCAAGTTTCTCCTGACACATTGTTGTTGTTGTTACACACACACAATTAGAGATGAATGCCAGGTTGGGGATGGGAGTTTAAGCATAGTAGTGTAACCCCAAAATTTGTAGATGGACCTTGTTAGTTTTTCTCCTGACATTAAGTTCAGTTTTGTCTGACTCTCGGGGTTGGTGCTCATCTCCATATCTAAGCCGAAGAGCCGGCGTTGTTAATAGACACCTCCAAGGTCATGTGGCTGGCATGACTGCATGGAGTGCCATTGCCTTCCTGCCAGAGTGGTACTATTGGTCTAATCACATTTGCATGTTTTCGAACTGCTAGGTTGGCAGAAGCTGGGGCTAACAGCGGGAGCTCACACCACTCCCTGGATTCGAACCTGCAACCTTTCGGTCAGCAAGTTCAACAACTTAGTGGTTTAATGCACTGCACCACTGGAGGCTCCATGGATGGGCCATAGATTGAGAAAAATACCTACTTCACATGTCAAATGTCTCGTGGCCAACCTTTGACACCTCAGGTTGGAAGGATCAGAAGGGCCTCCGCAAGACTTGATGGAGAAATAGTTCATTCTAAAGCAGAGCTTGGAACAACAAGTTCCAGAATCTCCCACATATCATAGCCATGCCTGATGCTTTGAATGTTAAAATGTAAGGCAGCACGTGAAAGGACAAGTGATTAAAATCCAGGAATATAAAGAATAGCAGGAGAAATAGCGTGCAGAAGAGGGACTCACCTCCCGTTTGTCCGGAGTCCTCTAGGAGTAGAAGAGAAGGAACCACGAGCATCAGCAACACTGCGGCAAGTCTGATCATGATGCCTGGAGAGACCCAATGTTGAGTTCCTTGGAGGAGTTTGAGAAGGCAAAATGACTGGATTCTCTGGGAGTGTTCAACAGGTTCAAGGAAAGTTTGGGGATTGGAGTCAAGAAGTTGTGATGTGCGTCTGAGTGTGAGAGAGAATATTCCAGATTCTGCTGCTCTGCAGGGGGAAAAAGATGAGATTTCTAGGTGATTCCCTGGAGAGTGGGATGCTGAGGCTCGTAGGTTTTGCCTTGAATGTTGGGACAACCCGATAACCAGGATTTGACTATCCCTTGGACATATATAGCCACCTGTCACATCTTGTGTCCGAGGTTGTTCATTAACAAGGTCCATAGCGAGACCCTGCCAAAGGGCAGCTTGTCTCCCAGAACTGTCACAGGGAACTCTGGACCTCCAAGTCAGAAAACAAAACTCCTGTCAGGAGGCCAGGATCTAGTAACATTAAACCCAAGAGCCATAGGTTTTCATGGACCTTCTTACACACACACACACACACACACACAGAGGCTCATCTCAGTTCTTACTCAAAACAGACTTCTTTAAAATCCTGCACGTCTCTATAGTAACCTGTGAGCACCCTCCCATTCCTTTGCTTTTCCAGGGAATCCGGAACTCCCTGATTCGGCTCCTTCCCAAACATCTATTTATTATCCCTGTTTTCCAACCAGAAGGTCCTATTAAAACAGGTTAAATATCTGTTTTGCTGTGAGTTTTCCAGGCTGTATGGCCATGTTCCAGAAGTATTTTTTCCTGACGTTTCGCCTGCATCTATGGCAGGCATCTTCTGAGGTTGTGAGGTCTTTTGGAAACTAGGCAATATCTATAGGTTTATATATCCGTGGAATAATGTCCAGGGTGTGAGAAAGAACTCTTGTCCATTTGAGACAAGTGTGAATGTTGCAATTGGTCACCTTGATTAGCATTTAATGGCCTTTCAGCTTCAAGGTCTGGCTGCTTACTGCCTGGAGGAATCCTTTGTTGGGAGGTGTTAGCTGGCCCTGATTGATTCATGCCTGGAATTCCTCTGTTTTCTTGTTTTCAGCATATTATTTGTTGGGTTGTTTCATCCCTGGACTGCACAAGTCTCTTGTGTTATTAACCACTCGAACAAGTAGAAGACCTAGGATATCTGCAACATTGATTTAACCCAGACTTGGTTTTGGTTTTAACTAGCGTGTTTAATCTATTGTTTTAATGAATTGTTTTAATGTTTATATGGTGATAGCATCGTATGGTGCTTGTGTGAGGCCGCCCTGAGTCCCCCCTTGGGGGAGAAGGGCGGGGTAGAAATGTATGAAATAAATAAACAAACAAACAAACTACCATGTCAAACTATACAGAGAAGGCATTGATATCCACAAGCATGTGGACAATTTCAACAGAAAGGAGAAAACCATGAAAATAAACAAAGTCTGGCTATCAGTATTTAAAAAAACTTTAAAATCAGGATAGTAAAGAAAGAACATCACTCAGAAAACAAGGGAATTCCAGACATGAAACAATCAGGGCTAGCTAACACCTCCCAATGAAGAATTCCCCCAGGCAGGAAGCAGCCAGACGTTGAAGCTGAAAGGATCTTCAAGATTTGGCTGCTTCATGCCTGGGGAAATCCTTTGTTGGGAGGTGTTAGCTGGCTCTGATATATAAACCCCGCTTGCCTTGGTCCAGAAGCATTCTCTCCTGACATTTCACCCACATCTAATGCAGGCATCCTCAGAGGCTGTGAATTCTGTTTGAAACTAGGCAAGTGAGGTATATTTATATATCTGTGGAATGTCCAGGGTGGGAGAAAGAACTCCTGTCTGTTGGAGGCAAGTGTTAATGTATGTTTTTGAGGGAAGTCTAAAAAGCAGCCAAGCCTTGAAGCTGCAAGGCTATTCAATGCTAATGAAGGTGATCAATTGCAGCAGTCACACTTGCCTCAAACAGACAAGAGTTCTTTCTCCCACCCTGGACATTCCACAGATATATAAACCCCGCTTGTCTTGGTCCAGAAGAATTCCCTCCTGACGTTTTGGCCACATCTATGGCAGGCATCATCAGAGGTTGTGAGGTTTGTTGGAAACTATGCAAGTGGGGTATATTTACATATCTGTGGAGTGCTCAGGGTGGGAGAAAGAACTCTTGTTTGTTTGAGGCAAGTGTGAAAGCAGCCAAGCCTTGAAGCTGCAAGGCTATTCAATGCTAAGCAAGGTAGTCAACATTCACACTTGCCTCCAGCAGACAAGAGTTCTTTCTCCCACTCTGGACATTATTTATTTATTTATTTACAGTATTTACATTCCGCCCTTCTCACCCCACAGGGGACTCAGGGCAGATTACAATGTACATATACATAGCAAACATTCAATGCCATAGACACACAACATATATAGACAGACACACAGAGGCTATTTAATATTCCAGCTTTTTCATGAGGGTATTCTTGCCACCAGGGGAGCTGTTGCTTCACCGTCCATTTATGACACTGATGAAGTACTTCCTCATTCTTTGCATGCTTGTTGGAGATTTTTATGGCATTGTAAATTAGCACCGGGATTGTGGCACAGCTGGCTGAGTGTCAGCTGCATTAAGATCACTCTGACCAAAAGGTCATGAGTTCGAAGCCAGAGCGGGCTGGAGTGGGTGTCCAGCCATTGTGTAGCCCGTTGTCGACCTTTGCAACCCGAAAGACAGTTGCATCTGTCAAGTAGGAAAATAAGGTACCACCTTGTGTGGGAGGCTAAATTTAACTAATTTATGAGGCCATAAAGAAAGAAGACTCCGGGGAATGTGGAATGCGGAAGAACTTCATCGGTGTCGTTGATGGACGATGAAAAGCAGCAGCTCCCCTGGCGGCCAGAAAAAAAGTTAAATAGCCTTTGTCTGTTAAATGTTGTTTGTCAAACTGGCATTGAATGTTTGCCATATATGTGTTTACTGTAATCCGCCCTGAGTCCCCTGCGGGGTGAGAAGGGCGGAATATAAGAACTGTAAATAATAAATAATAAATTAGCCTCCCCGCATAACTAAATTTCCTACTTGACAGATGCAACTGTCTTTCGGGCTGCAAAGGTCGACAACAAGCTACACAAATAGGTCGGAAGCTCACTCCGACCCGCGATGGCTTCCAACTCATGACCTTTTGGTCTGTAGTGATCTTAATGCAGCTGACTCCCAGCCAGCTGTGCCACAGTCCCGGTGCGTTATTTCACAGATATATATATATATATACACCTCACTTGTCTAGTTTCAGCCGACCTCTCAGCCTCTGAGGATGCCTGCCATAGATGTGGGCGAAAGGTCAGGAGAGAATGCTTCTGGAACATGGCCATACATCGAGGGAAAACTCACAGCAACCCAGTGATTCCGGCCATGAAAGCCTTGGACAACACATTGAAAAAAGAGGGCTTTGCTGGGGAGAGACTCCTGAGTGGTGGTTCTTGAGAGTGGGTGCCTCCTCGTTCCCAGCCATTCCCCTTTAAACCCGGACTCCTCCTCCTCCTCTTCTTCTTCCTCCTCTCTCCCCCCCCCTCCAATCTCTTCCTCCTCCTCCTCATCTCCGCCAGCGAGGAGCAGGCTCAGCCGAAGCCCACAACCTGTTTGTTGCTCTCCTTCCTCCGCTCAGCTCCCCACCTGCCTCTCCTTTCCTCTCCTCTCCTGCCATCTGCTCTTTCCCTCTTCTCCTCACCTTCCTCATTTCGGTTCTTTTCCCCCTCCCTCCACTCACCGCCGCCTCACCCAATCCATCCATCCCTCTATCCATCCATCCACACCCTTCTTTCTCCATCTCCTCTACCTTCCTCTGAATCCTTTCAACTCCCGCCTGCCCATCAACCTTTCTCTTCCTTCTTCCATCATTTCCCTTCTCTTTCTACCTACCTGCCTTATTTATTCCTTCCTTCGTTTGTCTGCCCCCTTTCCCCATCGTTCTTTCTCCAGCAGCCTTCTCTTCTCCTTCCCCCTTTCCTTTCTCCATCCTTTTTCTTCCCTTTTCAGTCAGTTCCTCTCTCTTTCCACAAAGCACATGCAAAAAAAAAAAATGCCTGCTGCTTCCAGTTGGCAGTTAGCTCTGCCCCTTTATTAATACTTGATGTTTGATCCTTGCTTTCTTTTCTCGAGGTTCATCGGAAGTCGACGTCGGGGGCTTCACGCTTGATTTTGGTCGTGAGAAGCACGTGAAGAGTGGGAGAGATGGGACAAAGGTAGAGAAGGGTGAGATCGTTCACATCTATAAGCGGCGTACTCCTTTGCATCTTCCCCTATTCTTCTCCATGTTCTTCGGCGGGGCTGATCAGTTCCTCTCCTCTTTACAGTAGAGTGGACCGTCCGTCGGCTTGGTCCTGACCATGCAGTCTACCGCGATAGCGATGCTCTCGGCTTCGCACTTGTGTTCGGAGAGAGGAGAAAAGAAGGAGTGAATGAGGATGAGGGGGGATGGATGGGGGATGGGCAGCTGCTCGCGAGAACATGCGGTGGAGACAAAGTGGACGTAGAGACACTTGCAGCACAAAGACAAC